AATTGTGAGCTTTGAATTGTTTTAGTACTTTGATTTTAAATTCCAAAAATGATGAATATTTCAGATATATATTTTTCTGATGAAAACAGCTGAAATGAATCATATATAGCATAAATTCTCATTAAGCCCTCTCGACTCTGGAGGTAGGGGAATCCAAACCCCACACAGAGTCTAGGATTTGATGGTGCTTTATTTTTGAAAAAAATCATTGATAATTGTTGAACTGAAATAATTATCTAAAAGATTGTCTCTTTAACACGCTACGTGCGCAACCCGTGTTATTTTTGACACGTATACAATTTTCATAAATAAGCTTTGCATACATAAATTATGTATCTTTGTGTAGTTAATGTCATATTTAACAATTTTAACTAAAACCTAATCGAAAGTGTATAGGTGTCGTTTTTTTTTTGGGTCGATGGGGGTGGGGTGGGTAGGATTTGCATTGGGGGTTGGGGAGAACAGAGGGAAAGACTTGCAAACCTGAGTTACAAGTGCATAGAGAGGAAGAGTTATGTAGCTGCAAAGGACTTGAACCATAACCCTGGAAGTGTGTGAGAAAAATTTCAAATTGCAAATTTTGACATATTCAATAATAAATGAAAATGATTTTTGATTGAATCCCTTTTTCCTTTTCGTTCGATCCACAATGAATCTACGGGAGGATGGACGAATAGAAATAACTGAATAGAAACATAACATACAGAGATGCATAGGTCATATAAACTTACGCTAATACCACCCTGATAACAATAATCTCAACGTTTTCGTGGTAGCAAGATTTAATCCCAAATTGCCACTGTATTTATATATCAAACCAGAAGGGAAACAGTATCAACTTAATAACATATGGATGAAGAAAGGACTTCACATAAGGCAATGAATTGGTTAAGAAAGTGTGTACCGTAACCCAAATGAAGAATGCGAACTCAAATGCATTCTGCCATCAAACAAATATAAAGTTAGGCCAAGATTATTTGTCTATAAATATTGATTATTGTATGATCAATGCAGACTTATTACTGTTGAACTCTAAATTTGAATACATAATAAATGTCGTCTTAAAAATTTAAGCCTTTAATGTAGTGGTTGAACATGATACTATAGCACACGAGGTTATTGCAATTGGTAAAAGAAGTAAATCGTGTTGAAAATAAAATAATTTTGTTTGCTATTTAACAGTTAAAACTTTTAGACAAGACGTTTGACAATTACCATGAATAGAGTGAAATGAAGGAGTGGTAGGACGAGTTGAGGTCGGTTAAACCAGAAGAGCTGGTTATTGGGTTGCACCAATGGGGTTCCTCTAATTACAGTGTTTTTATCTGTTACTTGCATGGCCATTCTAGCAACAATTACTTGGAGTTTAGTTCCAATAGCCAGAACCATCTGCAAGAACAATGAAGAAGTTTCCAACAAGTATTAGAAATTAAGCTGAAAGCAATAAAGAAAACAAGAATAACATTTTATACTTACAATCAATGGGACAAATGACACCCAAAGATATACATTCCACCCTGTTACAACAGACAAGAATTAATGTCTAGTGAGAGAGAGAGAGAGAGAGAGAGAGAGAGAGAATTTTGTATGGGTTTGT